AGGTCTACACTGCAGGGGACACGGGAGGGTCAGATCTACACTACAGGAGACATAGAGGGCCAGGTCTACACTGCAGGAGACACGAGCAGAGTGGTTCTGTCAGGAGGGGACATGGGGCTGTCCATACTGGAAAAGACATAGGAGGGATGGTTCTGCCTGCCTGGAGGAGATATAGGAGGCTCCTGTGTCTCCTCCAGTATAGATCTGGCCTTCCTGTATTCCAGGGCAGACCCTTGATCCTGGAAAGAAACTTTTTTTGTTTGTTTGTTTTTTAAGTAAACTGGACAAGTTAGCTGCAGTTAGGAGGCAGGTCTAAGGAAAGGAGGCCTGAAATGATATGGGATTTCCCTCTATATTCCCATGTGAATGCCAGTGGTCAATAAGAAACTCTCTTGGGCCTGCACGGGGAACAGAGGTAAACCAAACTGAAAGTTGGGAGAAGGAAGGCGAAGTTTAGAGAGAAGCCATGGAGACAGATGCCAGAACTTTAGCCGGTAAGCCACAGCCACATGGCGACACACAGATTAATGGAGATGGGTTAAATTAAGATGTAAGAGTAAGCCAATAAGAAGTTAGAGTTAATGGGTCAAGCAGTGTTTTAAATAATATAATTTCTGTGTGATTTATTTCAGAACTGAGCAACTGGGAAACAAATTAACAACCTCCTTGCAACGTTTGGTTTTTTTTTTTTGCTTTTTTGTTTTTTTTTAAATATTTATTTATTTATTATGTATACAATATTTTGTCTGAGTGTATGCCTGCAGGCCAGAAGAGGGCACCAGATCTCATTACAGATGGTTGTGAGCCACCATGTGGTTGCTGGGAATTGAACTCAGGACCTTTGGAAAGGCAGACAATGCTCTTAACCACTGAGCCATCTCTCCAGCCCCCTCCTTGCAACGTTTAAATAATTATATTAAAAAGAAAAATCAGGAAAAACAGGGAGAACTGGTCCACACAGTTGGCATTCAGTCCTCTGAGCACTGGGGACCCCCAAGTGCTAGCCTGAGGGAGTGAAGCAGGTGTTCTCCTGGGCCAGGCTGCACTTGTGGACACCACAGGACTTTGCAAATGGACAGTTTTCTTCATGCAGAAGCTGAGCAATTGGCCTGCAGTTCTGGAATCTGAGATCATGAGGGGCCACTGTGGCTGGACAAGCTCTGCATGTGAAGTGAGAAGAAGGAACTACAGAAGCTATTCAGTGTCCTGAGACAAAAGCAGGGGAGCCAAGACATGGTGGGACTCAGGAACAGAAAGGCAGCTTCACCTCTGGGAGGACCCAACTCTCGCAGGGCCTCTGTCCTGAGGTTACTGGCATCTGTGTCAGTGGTAATAAACTCTTTAACCTTGACACGACTCTGATGTTCTGCCCTGATTTAAATATTCCTCCAGAGCCCCCAGCTTACCCAATGAGAGAGTAGCACCACCCACTGCCAGCCCACGAGGTTTGCCTACAAGCCTGCACAGGCACCACCCTGTGGGCACATGCCACATACCTTTCTGCCCTTAGTTCTCTTTAGGGTCTTGCCATTTCAGAAGGTGTCCCCCGACAGCTCAGACCTGCCTTTACCCACACTCTTACTAACTGCACCCCCAATAGAGTTCCCTACACACAGGCAGTTACATTCTTTAATCAACGTTTTTTTCCAGTAAGAAACCACAATGCACATACCTGATGTACCCAGTAAGACGGAAGTTGACGCTATCAGCTGGGCACCCGCAGCCTCTGACTCCCTTCACCAAGGAAACGGAACCATCACAAACACTGAGTTCTCCCTGATTCTAATGGGACTTCATAGGCTATGTCCCACACCCACCAACGGAAGCCCATGGCAACTGGCCAACCTTGGAGCCTCCTAAGAGGCCAGTGGGAGGAGCCTGGAGGTAGGGATGCAGGAGATGAGGTTATGGTTTTGTTCCAATTGTAACTATCCAGTTCCCACACGTGTGCACACTGATGAACATATATATATGTTGTATGTTCTACAATGACCTCTTTTCCCTCCACTTCAGAGATCATAATGAATATGACACTGAATCCTAGTAGGGAAACTGTGGTGGTATTTTGTTGTTGCTTTAACAAATAAAGCTTGCCGGAAGATCAGAGTGTAGAGCTAGACACACTAGTTAGTCACAGAGGCCAGCCAGTGGTGGTGTACACCTTTAATCCCAGCACTTGGGAGACAGAGGCAGATGGATGGCTGTGAGTTCAAGGCCACTCTGGGCTACCTGAGATTGGATCAGCCTAAAAAAGAAACAGGGTAAAGTGGTGGTGGCTCACACCTTTAATCCCAGCTCTAGGGAGGTGGAGATGGGAAGGGATATGGCTGGGCGGAGAGAGGAGTATGTGGTGGGAGGAGACAGGAGCTCAGGATTCAGTCTGAGTACTTATAGGGACAGGATCACGGTTTTGGTCTGGGGTAGAGGTCAGAACTAGTGTCTGCTGCTCTGCTTCTCTGATCTTTCAGTATTCACCCCTATATCTGACTCCAGGTTTTTATTAAGACCAATTAGATTCGCACTACATCATGCCACAGGAAACAGCTGGAAATAAGAGCCTGGTTGAGATCAGGGCTGAGCCTCAGTTCTGCCGCATGCATGGAGTTACAAGAACCCCGGCGAGGCACGAGATTTTTCACAGCCTGATTATCCTCTGTTGATTGGGTACGAAGGCTGCTTTGTAGAGCTCCTGAAACACTAGAACCAACCTACTCCTAGACGTGTCCAGGGTCCTCAGTGGGCCAAAGCGGACCCAGTGAGCAGCACATGGAAGCTTACCACCCAGAGAGGCTGCCCTTGGACCTGAGTCGGACACTTGGAACAGATCACTGATGTTTTGTTTTTTAATTGACCGTATAACCTATGGAAGACAGAATCCTCAGTGCTTTCTTTCACCTAGTTAAAAGTTGGCTGCTGGGCAGATGTGCTCAAAGGCTGGTTCCTGCCATCAAGAGCAGGCTCTGCAGAACAAAGGTTCCTCCCAACTCCCTTCATCCCAGACCAACTAAACCCTCTGCCGAATACTGAAATCTGAGCATTTAAAATACTGCTGAAGGACTGGAGGATAGCTCCACAGTCAAAGTGAGCAATGCTCTGAGTTCCATTTTCAGCACCCACAGGGCAGCTCCAATGCCTGCGACTCCTTCTCCAGGGAATCTGATGCCCTCTTCTGCCCTCCACAGATTCACCCGTACACACCTGCTCACACACACACAGTCTGATGGACTCTTCTGCCCTCCACCGACACACCCATACACACCTGCTCACACCCACACAGACACATTCACATACTTTATAAAACCTTAAATGTGACAGATCTCCAAAATGAGCTGTGTTGCTTAATACAGACCATATTTTTGGTAGATTAGTGTCAAAAATTGCATGTTGAAATAATATTTTGGATACCCGGGCTTAGACAAAGTTAACTTCACCTGTTTCCTGTCTTAATTTGGCTCCTAGGAGCATTTTAATTCCCTCGGTAGCTTGTACAACACTTGTCGTAGACACTGCTGAGCTCCAACAGTGCTATAAGGAGCCTTAGGCTCTGCCCTCCTGGAAATGTTAGCAACACGGGCTTCACCCACCACAGTGGCAGGTGTGAAAACCCCAGGGTTTTCACAGCCCAGTGCCATTGGCTCTCCCAGGCCTTCTAAAGCAGCATGACCCACAGCCACCAACACACTGGGCACCAATACTCACAACTAATCCTGTACTTCCCCTTGAGCACCTATGGCCCCGACACACTGGGTACCTATACTCACAATTAATCCTGTACTTCCCCTTGGGCACCGTCTTCTGGGCACTGTCAGCTGCCACAGCCCCTCCCACGCTTGGTCAGCTCTCGCTCACAACCTTCCCGACACTCTCCAGGCAGAAGAAATGGCTCCTTATCTGTGACACCTCGTGACTCAGTTTGTACCTTCACAAGAGCACTAGCTGGTGGCTGCTGCCTCA